ATTCAGAATAATTAATATCAATATTACAATTATTTCATTAGAACAACACCGATATAAAAGAGAACAACACTAATATAGTGTTGTTTTCAATTATATCGTCATCAGGTTTTACATGAAGATTTAAATGAAAAATGTCAAAACTAGTCAAAGTAATTTATGAGTTATTCATTCATCACAATGTAATGAAGTATATTACAACATCATAGGTAAAAGTACAAGTTTACAGAGTGGGAAGACAGACAACAAGTGTACTGTTAGTAGTAGGAATAATAAATACATGATAACAAAAGTTTTTATCAATAAATACTTCAACATTTGGGAAATAGTAGGTCAAACGTGAATAAATAAACTTGAAATCATAATCATTACAAAATATGATGACCATTACGTAATAAATAATGTGTACATAATGAGATAGTGAAACAAATTTAAAACAGAAAGAGTTGGATGTGAAAATACTGATAATGATAACAAGAATAAAATGAAAAAAATATTTAAAATCGTTTATTAAGTTATGCAGCCGGCCAAAGAAGGGTTAGGAGTGTCACGAATTTCTTCTGAACACATAAACTGAGGTTGGATCTGCGAATTCCTATGGTTTCTGCTATATGTAAGAGACTGGATTGAACTCCGTTGGGAAATGATTGAGATTTATGTACATAATGACCGCTGTCAATTAGATGTGCCAAGATAGAACTGCATATTGTTTTTATCTGGCCCTTCATAAACCATTTTGGGAGGTGTTCGCTCATTCGTTGGTAAGTTGCCTGGAAGTACGCCCGATATAGCTATCTCCACAGAAGCAGCTGAATTTGTAAATGCACATAGAGGAGGTCAACTCAGTAAGTTTTCCTTCGTTTGGGCAGATCAGCTAGAATTTGGCCGAGAGGCGAACCAACGGCTATCCCGTTTATGATTCTCAAATAGGGATGAAAATTACATCTTAGATACAATCTATCTTGATACCATCTATTTATTTCATAAATAATTGCCAATATTAGTTTACTTAATTTTTTTAAACAAATAATTTATTCTGATATCATCGTGCTTGTGTTACTCACTTTTTATTCATTCTCGTTAGAATAATGATTAAAATGTCTTAAACAATTCAAAAGCAGAAGGATTTTATAGTTTATCACATTGATTTCAATCAGTCAGCAGTTTCATAATCAACATAGAAACTCGCATGCATATATATATGCATCGGTTCACATTACCACATCATATTAGTACAATGAATTGATGAAATATGATATAAACAACTAAAAAGTATTAGTGGTAGTTTAAGTATTAGAAAAAAAAGTAGATAATTTCACAAGAAATCTAGATTCTCGTAATCGAGAAATCTTTTAACTGAGTTCCGAATCATTAGCATCGAAGGAAGGGGAGGTGGGTGGGGAAGAGAAAGAGTTCATGCACCGACGCTGTTGTGAACACTTTTCAGCTATATCTAGTTTAATACTTTTAACTATTGGTTTCAATGATTGTATGAACAGGTTGTTTGCATCAGTCCAGTAGTTATTCACATCCTGAATCGATACCATACCACTAGTTTTAACCTTTACTAATTTTCTCCTCATTTATTTTCAAACTTATTTAGTAATAGTAGTAGTATGATTAGCTTGAACTAATTTATCATGTTGGATTGTACATTATTCAGTAAGTAATTCAACGTCATTCATAATAATAATCATAATCATAATTCAATCATAGGTCATTTAAGGTGATTGATTATTAAATGCTGATCATTTGATACATACAGTGTGTTCTTTCTTCTTTTTTTTTATTATCCTTAAATGATGGATGATTCATGTTAAACTATTGAAAGTAAATAAATAAAATCATACAATTTTCCGAATAAAATTGAATATTCACTGTAAATTAAAGCATCAAATAATACATGTATAGTTCTTTTCGTTATTATTATTTATCACAACTCATATCTGACGTGTTATGTTACTACTCTATCTCATACTCTGTGTGTGTGTGTGTGACTTGTTCACACATCCCAGCATTTCAATGTGTACAGTGCATTTTGAGTCTACTAGCCAATTATTTTTTCCCTAAATAGAACCACTAAAATTCAACACTTTATCATCATCATACATCATTAATTTATCTCGATGAAATTAACATTCAAATATAATCATAGATGAACAAGTTAATTCATGAAATATGCAATGACAAATGATACTGTTTTTCTTAGTGTATACACAATTCCAACTATTCACATAATATATGATATTGTAATAAAAGAGGTGCAAATAACACAAATCATTGTTCAGTCAAACTTTTAGCATGTTTTCAAGTGTTCACAGTGTACATGGTACACCAATAGTCAGTGTTGTTGTTTAGGCTAAGAGAAAAAACCATTGATGCACACTAAACAATCCATGTTTTTTGATTTTGTTTTTTTTTTCTATTTCATCACTCATAACAATCTGTATTTGTGATATTTTATTTCTAATTTTTTTTTTGTATTTTAGCATCCATTTATTGTACGACGTTCGAAACCGTTGTCATCTTTAACGCCACTCATTTTAGTCGCTCGAGATCAAGCTAGAAATCAAACACAATAATAATAATAATAATTTTATCAAACAATAATGCATTATCATACACATGACGATGCTGATGTGGTTGTTATAATTCAAACGAACAAAATTCTCTTCTAATTCGTGTACTACTACTACTACTGATTATATGAAAAAATACACGAGAAAAAAAAAAGATATAACTTCCATAGAATTTTGTTTGATTGATTGAATTCGTACTGTTGTCAATAAAATATCCAAATCTTTCTACTTACTACTACACTTATATCTCTTCTATAGCCCATTAAATTACCCTCCACCTCATCATCATCATCAATCATTTCTGATTCAGTCAACTATTATTCGCGGAAAGACGGAGTGCGAGCTGGAAGGAGAACCACAAACAGATATTCTAACATGCTTGTTTGTTTCATTCTAATCTCAGTATCAATTATGTGTAATTTTTTCTAGTGCAAAAAATTGAATACTGAAAGATTAATGTAAACATTGATTTTGCAACAAACCAATAAACAATAGAAGATATAAATTTCCAGTCTCTTACATTGTTCTGCTGTAAAATACATCTGTGTATAATAGTAATTGGAGAATTCACAGTATTCTTTGAAACTGTCGTACAGTACTCTCCTATACACATTCACATTCATGCAGACAGGAAGTCATTTATTTTGTTGTGCATATGAATCGATCATTACCATTTAATACCGATAAAGAACCGTTTCATACTGCCTTCTCATCCATTGTGTCTACACATTGTCCTATATATATATATATATATATGTGCCCGAGCGTGCAGATGGTGTGTAGTTCACAGGTGAACGTGTTCCTGTTGTTTATTGACTATTATTTTTCCCTTTTAAAAACTTATTGAATTGCTCATACCAAAAACATAAACTATATATATATATATATACATATATATGATATTCCTGTACTGAACATCGAACAATATCTCACATACAATAATGCAATAAATATTCAACAAAATTCATACCATTTGTCTAATGTTCATTTTAAATTGATTTACACCAAAAAGAAAACTATGTCTTCCTTGTCTAAAATTCGATCCAATTGAAATGATCGTGTACTCCAGGCAATATGTCTGTGCACATCGACACATACTGATGAATAGATTAATTCTCTTCCGAAATGATTGTCTATTTTTTCTTTTCTCTAATTGCTTTTTTTCTGTTTAATTTCAGATTTCTTTTCCATTTTTTTCCCCTCTTCAAAATTATAAAGTTTGTTGATGTGATATTGTTGTTTTTCATACTGAATTCGTACAGTTAACTCATTGCACTATATATGATGATCAGTTCTTTCTCTCTCTCTCTCTCTCTCATATATATATATACACATTAATTTCATTCGTGTGTATGTAGTATATTCATGGTGTAGTGTAATCCAAATGATTACACTTACTGTCAAAAGAACACATAGTTTACTGGTCGAGCCGGAGGGGGGCAGGAGGCTGAATGGTAATCGTGTTTCACTGTTGTTGTGTTTTTTGTTATGCATGACAATTTTATTCCTTAAAAATAATGTCAACTACTGTTTTTCTGATTTCTGTTTATCATTTAATACAATGGTCTTTTTGCGCAGATGTGTTATATGCGGCATATGTAGATGATTACTTTCAATGCCTGTGATGAATGAGGATGTTGTTGTTGTTGTTGATGATGGTTGTGTGTGTGTGTGTGTGTATCAGAAGAATTCGATGTTTTATCATCATTTCCGTTTCTATTAAATTGTATGAACAACATTTTTCCGATTTGTTTTCCTCTTCCTTTCTCTTGATTGATTGTGTTGACCTCGAAATTGATTGATTATTTTTAATTTTTATCAAAATATAAATAAAAAATTTTGATATGCACAACATCATTCAATCTATGGAAGCGTCTACCAACACAATTCACGTACACATGTGAAATCAAAGTTCAAAACACAACGATTTTTTTTCTAAAGAACAATTCTTTTATTGAAAAAAATCAATCATAAATATAAATTGGGTACAACTCTCAGCTCATTCGTTGTCTAAGGTGAGATTAGCGCGTCTGAATATCTGTAAAGAAAAGATCTTCGGTAGTGTAAATAACAACTGTATTTATCGACAACCTAAGAGTTCAATAATGTGGAAGTTGTTGCGTTCAAAAACAGCTTCAAGGATTGTACGTAACTGGGGATTGTACATTGACAAGAGTTGAAAGGAATTAATTATAATAGTAAATATAATAAATTCTATTAGTCTATGTAGATACACAACAATATCACATGCATTACATACTATGCCTAGAAATATTATTAGAGATAAACTATCTATCTACTAAATATCATTAACAAGTAGTAATTAGATTGCAATAAATGTTCATCAAAACAGAGCAGTGATCATACAAAACTTTATGGTATTATTTACCATTTTAACTGATGAGATAAATCTACAAGTTATTATTTGGAAGATCCTAAATTTACCTAAAATTGATATGTCAGATGCTATAACTTTATATCTTACAAATGTGTTTCACCTGTTTGTATATTCTTCATCAGTTCGTATGCAATAAGTATGACTCATAGTAATCTAATGGAAATTGATTACGGAATTTCAAAAGTACACTTATAAGCTGGATAGATAAAATATCTAATTCTGAATATAAACATTCAGTGCGTAATTCTGGACAAGTTTGGCTTACAATCTCCTCTATAGGCTTGAATGTTTATTTGTTAGTAGGTCATTATTCGTTTGCTTTAATTCAACATGTCAGTCAGTTGCAACGTAGAACTTCGTACGTATGTACATAAGTTCATGTTGCCATACCACATTAGCACAGATGCAAATGTCAAATCAAATCATATAGTGATAAATATAGTAGAGGTATTAATGGTAATGAAGAAGACAAGGGTTCGAAGATATTATTCAAGAAGTATAATTCAGTCAGATAAGGTTAGAAAGACAAAGGTAGGTGGTGACGAATCCAGAAGATAACGATTTGAGACAGCTCAAACAATGGATGCACTTGCTCCATTTCAAACGATTTTGAGCCATGTAGTTCAAGGACTCTAACCATTGGTGGCTTTCGACTCGCGGACCCCAACCAGGTAGTCTACATCTACCAACATGACTCAGTCCACTTGTCAGTGACTTCATGGATTTCTGCCATGTTTTGGTCTGGGCTCCCCTAACTTTCATCCAACCTACTCCTACACCACAAAACATAGCTTGTCGAGGTAGTTGGTAGTAAGGCATACGTAACACATGTCCCAACCACCTCAACTGATGAAGTTTCAATGCTTCATCTATTGATTTACTATCCTTACCTAGAATTCGGTTTCTAACGATAGCGTTGCTTACTCGGTTGTCCCATGATACACGAGCAATGCTTCGGATACCTATGATCGAAGACTAGTAACCTACGAAAGTCCTCTACTCTTAACGGCCAATTCTCGCATCCGTATAGTAGGACAGAGCGAACTACTGCACAGTACACTCGTCCTTTGGTTAACAAGGGGATATCTCGCCTGCGCCATAAGTGACGCAGGTTGGTAAAAGCCAATCGAGCCTTCTGTATCCGTGCTGATATTTCGTCAGTCACCAGGCCATCAGCACTGATGAGACTCCCAAGATAAGTGAAGCGGTCCACACGCTCGGCTACTTCACTCCCTATCACTAGTTCGGGTGCCGATGAAACCCAATCTTGAAGCAACATTTTGCATTTCGAGGGGGAAAACGGCATCCCGAACATGCTCGCATTGTTGCTTATGGTAGTCAGAAGACTCTGCATTTTGTTAGCGTCTTCACCGACTAGAACTATGTCATCGGCATATTCTAGGTCAGTAAGCAACTTTCCTGGTAGAAGGTCAACCTCTGAAAAATCTGACGAGCTTAATGTTAACTCGAAGAGGATGTCTACGACAAAGTTAAACGAGAATGGAGAGAGTGGACATCCCTGACGGACACCACTTGGTGTAAAGAATTCAGATGACAGTTCGCCATATGCTCTCACTCGACCTGTAGTGTTCGAGTAGAGAGCTTGTATGAGGTTAATGTACTTCTTTGGTACACCTTTCAATGACAGACACTGCCACAGAACCTCACGATCCACTGAGTCAAATTCATGTAGCATGTAGCGATGTGAACCTACTCACTTTACTCACTACTTTATATGTGATAGTGGACTTTTTATTCATTATCTGAGAAAAATTGAACTGAGCAACTTCAATGTTTTTTTTGTCTCCGTTAGTCGTCTAAATAATTTTAATAATTAAAAATTGCCTTAAAGTTTTCTTCATGTTTACCGCCTAAACGAGTAATATTTTCCAACTAATCTCACTCTGTGATATGTATCCTATGATCAGAAGAAAAAATTACATCATTTTGTGATCCTAGAAGTTGATTAATGTCTGTTTACGAAAAATTAAATGAAGTGACTTTAGAGTGTTTCCCGGGCCTTTTATTATCATATATATATATATATATATATATATGTTTTCAGAATAGTTCGCGGCTTGTTTTACACTACTTAGAACCCATTATAAGTAGGCTATGAATTCCAACTCAAATACTCACCTTATTTTCAAACAACCACACAAATGAAAATAAAATATAATTCAGTTTACTGTGCAGAACTGATGCATGAAAATCCAACGCAATTTAAATGATTTATAATATAAGATACTCCATCGCTGTACTAATACAGAGCATGCCAAGGATTGTACTGTGTATGAATAAATAAGTTACTGCAGAAATGCTTTGAGAGTTAGCTCAATCTGTTCATACATACTAACTGGAGTTGTTCCTTATATGAAGAAGTATTCGCAAGGGAAACAAACCTTCATGATACATTCATACATTTAGATATTAAAATACTCATAAACCTTTTAAAGAAATAGAAAATTAACTTCTCAGCAATCACAAATAAGGTCATGTAATTATGAAAAAATATAAAAGTTCATTGTTTGTAGCAGTTGAAGGATTGCGTATCAGTTTTTGAATACGAAATACAAAACAAGCACAATACAGGTGTATCCATCACCTAATATTAGTTTTAAAAGAAAAGGTTATTAGCACTCTGAAACCGACAAGAACGTGAAACGACTTTGACCATATGAGTTAATGTGAAGATTCTAACACCGAAATTTATGGACATTTTGTTAGCTAAAACTACAATAAACTGAAATAAGAAAGATGTCAGACTTTCTGCTGATTATATTTAATGAAAGAAAGTATTAATTTGATCTCAGTAACAAAAGATTCTATGCAACTTGTATATTTTTTAATTCTACGACTTTAGAGAATCGATAGTTCAGCATATCTTTCCGGTGAACGTTTTAAATTTATTTAGTAATCAATGCAGGTTACTGAATTGTATTTCATCATTGTCGATAGATAATTATTAGTAAGAAGAGTTTGAATTTTTTGTCATATACTTGAGCTTTCTACACTTAATGTTGAATTAGTTTTTGTTGAGTTATTTTACAGCTCAAGTGTTCCAAATCTACTTCTGAAGAATCTTAAACTTATGTATTTTAATACACATTTACTGTCTGCATAATATTGACTGCTTCATGTGACTGACATTTTAAGCAAAAATAAAACTTCAGAATATAATTTGAAAACTATTTATTTGGTCATATAACTTCTGTACAACAGGGAGGAAATTTCCCCAAGAATATTTGAAAATAAGATGAACTACGCTCCAATATCCTACAAACATCTGTTACATTTAACCAATCACAGTATAAATTGTGACATAAAAGATTCCTGGTGTTTTAACCATTCAATTACACGTTGTTTTGAAGCTGAAATTTGAACAGGAGATTTCCATTTATCCACGTGTGAAATTCTTTTAACACGATGGATACTTCTGGATTTCATACATGGTATTGTATCTCGAGAGTGATTTCTGAATGCTGAAAAGCAACGAACAAAGACCTTGTACTAATTGGTAAAAAATTTGAGTTGTTGCTAATAGAAAGTAAGAATATCAATTACTTTCCAACTACTTTATCAACAAAAGCTTAGCACACCATATTGGTTAAATATGAAACAGATTTCCAAGTACTAACATCCTCATTAGTACCTAGCTTTACATAACCACGATTTATTAACCATAATGGCAAAGATTATCGGAAACACAGTCTTCACCTTGCAAATATTTGACGATTATGTATGCCATCTTACCTTCCACGGTGTGGGCAGCCCGAAAGTGACAACCGCGCTCATACCCGTAACAGCACGAGAAACTAAATTGGTCACAATCAAATCATTCCTACACCCCTAATATCTCTCTTATCTCTACGACTAACTCTTGTCGCATTCCTCAAGCTCACTGCACCGCTAATGCAAACGATGCGAGTTTACGAAACGTCGTCCCTGGTTTCCTTAAACCTCGTTCTAAACTACATGTTGGAGTATTTAATGTACGGACATTGTGTCAAATAGGGCAACAGGCATCATTAGCTAGGACTTTAGAATCTCACTCAATCGATGTATGCTGCGTCTCGGAAACGCGCATACAGAATACTAGTAAAATCATTAATCTGATTTCACCTTATCAAAATAAAGAAGCATCTCGATTTACTCTTCGAGTATCTGGAAGCCCTGATGCTGCTTCCCGGGGTCTCGCTGGTGTAGGCATAATATTGAGTGGTAGGGCAGAACTAGCTCTCCTAGACTGGATCCCAGTAGATAGTCGCTTGTGCGCCGTTCGACTGAACGGGACAGTAAGGATTCGGAAAGATAGGGACATCTGTCGTTGCCTCTTCGTCGTATCTGCCTATGCCCCCACTGACTGCAGTTCACACAAGGTGAAAGATGAGTTTTACAGAAAGCTTCCGAACCTCCTCCAAAAAGCTAGGCGCTGATGTAGTAATAATGGCTGGTGACTTCAATGCTCAAGTAGGTAGACTGAGTGGGCAGGAGAGACACCTTGGTGGGTGTTATGGTGTCGCAGCTCAGAGGACAGACAATGGCGACCGTCTGTTGCAACTATGCTCAGATAACCGCCTATTCCTAGCAAACACTAACTTTAGGAATAAGGAAAAACATCTCTTAACCTGGTGACCCCCAAAGTCGTCTCAATGTTGGACCCAACTAGATAACATCGTCATCAGCCACCGATAGAGGGGTTTGATAGAAGACTGTCGCTCGTTCTGGGGCACATTTTTAGATTCACATCATGCCCTAGTGCGAGGGCGTATTTGTTTGAGGAAAGACACCGTAAGGAAACCTCTTAGGGTTCTACTTAATGATAATGAGGCTAAGAATATATTCCAGGAACAACTAGAAAGAGAGTTAAGCAACCACGTAAGTGATTCCCATCCGGAAGCAGGTTGGAATGATATCAAAAAGGCTGTGGAAACAGCAGTGATATCTGCTAGTAAGGTAAACCATAAGCCTAGGATGAAGCCATGGATCTTTGTAGCATCCACCGAACTGATAGAGGCTCGAAAACTCATCCCACCTGGCTCTGAACATGATGAAGAACGAAGTCAGCTTAGGCGCAGGCTGATAAAAAGACTACGTAACGACCGTGAACAGTGGTGGGTGGCGAAAGCAAAAGCGATGGAAAAGACAGCGGCGATAAGCGACAAGAGACAGTTGTACCGACTTATCAAGGAAACCGGTATTAGGAAGCCGAATTTGAGTGAGACTATTTCGGAAAAGGATGGTCTTATTATCCATTCTCAATCCAGGAGACCGGACCGAGCAAGTAAATAGAGAGAAGTCATATGAGGAAGATAAAGATCCAGGAGACTGGATCGATGGAGAGAATACTTTAGGGATCAGTTGAGCTGGCCTCGAGCCACTCTTCGGTTACCAACGATCTCAAGTCATCCTGAATGGCAAATCGACGTAAGTCCCCCGACTATTTATGAATTTGAGAAAGCGTTAGGAAATATGAAGCGAGGGCGAGCTGCAGGTCCTGATAGACTGACCCCTGAGATATTTAAGGATGGTGGACCAGTTTTAACAGTTAGATTGACCGAGATCTAAGGTAGAAATTGGGAACTGGACGTAATCCCATCTGATTGGTCTCAGTCGCTAATTGTCCCAAGCTACAAGAAAGGACAAAAGTCCTCTTGTGACAATCACAGGGGGATACGTTTAACTAATATGGTTTCTAAATTGTTAGCCTCCATTATACTTAGACGTCTAACTAGAGCTCGTGAAGAGCAGACTAGAGAAAACCAGTCTGGTTTTCGACCTGGACGTGGTTGTATAGAACACATCTTCACACTACGACAAGTCCTGGAACACAGACACACATTTAGACGTCCGACAATAGTCGTGTTCATGGACCTTAGGGCGGCATTTGACTCAGTGGATCGTGAGGTTCTGTGGCAGTGTCTGTCATTGAAAGGTGTACCAAAGAAGTACATTAACCTCATACAAGCTCTCTACTCGAACACTACAGGTCGAGTGAGAGCATATGGCGAACTGTCATCTGAATTCTTTACATCAAGTGGTGTCCGTCAGGGATGTCCACTCTCTCCATTCTCGTTTAACTTTGTCGTAGACATCCTCTTCGAGTTAACATTAAGCTCATCAGATTTTTCAGAGGTTGACCTTCTACCAGGAAAGTTGCTTACTGACCTAGAATATGCCGATGACATAGTTCTAGTCGGTGAAGACGCTAACAAAATGCAGAGTCTTCTGACTACCATAAGCAACAATGCGAGCATGTTCGGGATGCCGTTTTCCCCCTCGAAATGCAAAATATTGCTTCAAGATTGGGTTTCATCGGCACCTGAACTAGTGATAGGGAGTGAAGTAGCCGAGCGTGTGGACCGCTTCACTTATCTTGGGAGTCTCATCAGTGCTGATGGCCTGGTGACTGACGAAATATCAGCACGGATACAGAAGGCTCGATTGGCTTTTACCAACCTGCGTCACTTATGGCGCAGGCGAGATATCCCCTTGTTAACCAAAGGACGAGTGTACTGTGCAGTAGTTCGCTCTGTCCTACTATACGGATGCGAGACTTGGCCGTTAAGAGTAGAGGACTTTCGTAGGTTACTAGTCTTCGATCATAGGTATCCGAAGCATTGCTCGTGTATCATGGGACAACCGAGTAAGCAACGCTATCGTTAGAAACCGAATTCTAGGTAAGGATAGTAAATCAATAGATGAAGCATTGAAACTTCATCAGTTGAGGTGGTTGGGACATGTGTTACGTATGCCTTACTACCAACTACCTCGACAAGCTATGTTTTGTGGTGTAGGAGTAGGTTGGATGAAAGTTAGGGGAGCCCAGACCAAAACATGGCAGAAATCCATGAAGTCACTGACAAATGGACTGAGTCATGTTGGTAGATGTAGACTACCTGGTTGGGGTTAGCGAGACGAAAGTCACCGATGGTTAGAGTCCTTGAACTACATGGCTCAGGTGCATCCACTCTTTGTGTTCTATGAAATTCTAAGCTCCTGCATTCCTCATAATCTCTACCTTTCTCCTTCTAAATTTAACTTACTTAATTTTACTTCGCTAATCATATTTTCGCTCCCTAATCTTCTCGATTGCTGCTAATAATTCTACTATCGCTATCACTCTTGGATTTGAACTGACAGTTACGTCTCTGTGCTGACGTGGTATGACAACCTGAGCTGATGTACTTACGTACGAAGTTCTGCGTTGTATCTATCTATCTATGCCATCTACAGAAAAGTTCCATATATCATGCCATAAGTTGTACATACTGCCTGAAGACTACTGATACTCTGTTTTTGATCACCCAAATGAAATTTGGGTAATCTTTTGTATCAGATTTGAATACTTTATTAATTGATACACATGTCCAACATGGTATATTTGTAAATTGAGTAGATATGCCGATTACTAACACGTTCAAGAGGTGAAAGAGCAATATATATGGCTGATATCTTTAAGAGCATTCACAAAGAAAATAGATACGTAGTTTAATCAAATAGTATTAGGTTGTTACATATTTCAAAAGTACAAATAAAAGTAATATGCGGGTAAAAATACTCTCCTCCTGAAAAGTATAAAACTAAATATGTGCAAATTAACTCAATTCAAATAACTACTGACTTTCATAATAGATTAGATTGTAGTTCTATCCGATATAAAATAAAAATTATGCGCTTATCCGGAGTTGCAAATTACTGAAATATTTCAAATAAAGTGAAATAATTATGTCTCGTAGTTATTTCACCACGAGAACATTTTTTAAAAATATTTTAGAAAACTAAAGTTACTAGAAGATAAATAGGAGCATTTTCATCTGACTTCTGACAAAACATCACACCAAGTTCTCAAGAGTATGCACTTGGTTATCAAGTTGTGTTAAGAATTAAAAAAATAACTAGATCATTGGTTCCAGATAGCTCTTAGCGATACTAAAGACACATTTTACAATTAAATATGAAACCTCTGGATAACTACCAAGAAGAATTAAGTAATTGTAAAAAGCAGAATAATGTTATAACCCATTTCTTCTAAGACTGCCAGTATAGCGATATTTTGTTACATAACGTCTCTTCAAAAATTTACCTGAAGTACAACTCATTCTACTACTGCTACTACTATTGCTCATATATGAGTTTGACATATTAACTGGACGGAATCTTCGTTCTTCCCAGGAAGATACTGACCTCTCTAATGCTATAAATAACGAGACATTTGTAAGAAGATATTTCGTACTTACAAGATAAAGCAGCTTTCACACTCTTAAAATCCTACAATCAATAGTTTTATTAGGAAAAATGAAATCTAACCATTTTGGAATTTTCATTCACCAACGGACTTTCAATTCCCACTTCCTCCTTCGTTCCTTCTTTTTCTTCCTTTTCTGTATCAGTGAATATGCTGGTAATAGTAGTATTTGTAGAAGACCCTGTATTAGAAGTTAACTGTTTAAATGTATCTGAATTTAATACCTGTTCCAGTAATAGAGGGTTGAATGTTTTCAACATCACAGTCGTTTTCATCATCTGGTAACATGCTATCTGGTAATGATGCTAGAAAGTCTATAAGACATTCAAACCTTGTAACAAATGTTTTCCTACCTCCTGTTTTAGTGACTGAAAATTCCGTTAAATCCACTATGTCACAATCACGAAATTCATAATTATACTAAGATACTGTGAATAGTAGTTTGTAAGATATTACTTTTTCCGCTATGTTGTTTAACCTCGTTATAAATGCGGGATCCATAATAATAGTCGTAAAATTCTTGTTGTAGTGGACTTGTCTAAAAATAAGAAATTAGATGAAGATTGTACAACCTTTAAAAAATAAAGTTAAAACTAGTTAGACTGGTTTTATGCTTACTAACCGCAGTAGAGGATCGACTATCAGTGATTTTAAACAGGTATCTCTAAGTTTAAAACCTTTTTAAACAGGCTTAAGCAGCAGAATGATCTTGTTTTGTTTGGAATGACCATTAGATGTTTAATGCTGCTAAGCGGGGATCTAAAAAAGATACTGATTGAAACAGTACAAACAAACTATGAGTCTCAGTTCCAAATTTACTACAGGCAGTTTGAATGATAAGAAAGACGTTCTGAGGGAAGATACTGACACTGATGTTAAGAACCTAGTATTTCCTTCATGTTAGCATTCCAAATGTACAACTAGTTATGATAAGGATATCAGTTTCCAAGATTCTCACGAGTAAACTCTTGTACCAACATTATTTTGTACCTGAAAACGAAGCAAAACAGACACAAAGACTTTGATGCAACTCAAAAATGCATAACAGTGTACTGTCGATGTCGATGAATGTACGTACGTTTTGAAAAGTTTGCGCTAGTTACAGCACCTCAGAAATCTATAACAAGTAAGCACTTATAAACTATAAGAGCCACTATTTATCGTGATGGCTTATAGTAACAACTAGCTATAGTATACACTTACTGGTGACCCCAACAAACTTCACCTGGGGAGTAAAAAAACATACTAAACAGTATTCATCAAGGTTGAAGAACTATTCAAAAGCAGATTGTGGCTTTATACTGTTCAAGGCAAAAACTTACACGATTACTCTGAGTTTACAAAAGTATCGCTTCTACCAATAAATAAAATTTCTACGCAACAAAATCCCGGATATTAAGTTATATAGAAGAGACAGCTGTTCCCAGTTGCATTAAATGAAAAAATTCAGTTAAAAATCTTTTTAGGGGTTATGTAAGCAAATAATTAGGAGTAATCTTGTGAGAAGACTTTAGATTTCAGCCTTACCAACACTCCTAAGGGCAAGGTCAAAGTTGACTAGTGCGCTAAAACAGAGAGTAGTTCACACTGAATGTAGATAAACTGTACTCTAGCTTTACATGTGTTCATAGGTACTCACACATTCATTTATTATACTCTTTCGACCTAGTCTGTTCCGAATGGTATGGTTCTTATTTACTTGACCACAATCCCTGTTTTGATCTCTAAATCAGCATTAATTGTAAAGGTTGGTTTACGAAATATGCAGTGGTGTGCAAATAAATCTAATATAGGATTTTATTCTTACTTTTCAGTTACGAAGTGAAGGCCTTATCACTATTCTGATGTTCTCCCTCTAGGTGTTCTCTCATTAGTTGCTGTCAAGTAATCAAAGGTATGAGTGATCCATTGGGATAACTATAGTTGATCAACAAGAAATGCTGTAGTCATCTTCCTTCTACTCCCTTTGTACTAAGCGTGTCAGAATAATAATGTCAAGTTTAGAACCCTGGATTGAATCTCTGTTGGTACTCTTGAAAAAATTGGAGAAAGGAGGGACAAGAAGGCAGCAGTGAATGTCAGCCGAACAAGTGCAGAGAAAGTTAAGGCACAAGCCACATACACAGAACCAAAAAGGGAAGTGAAGAAGAGTATCAAAGCTGACAAACGAGAATATGTGGAAGATCTAGCAATGATGGCGGAAAAGGCTGCAAGAGACGGAAACTTGAGACAACTGTACGATACAACAAAGAAGCTCGCCGGAAACTATCGTAAACAAGAACGACCAGTGAAAAGATTTGGAATGAGGAACAAGTACTATCAGATTGGAAAGAAGGATACCTGATTAAAGTACCAAAGAAAGGCGATCTCAGCAAGTGTGAGAACTACAGAGGCATCACTCTTCTCTCAATACCAGGCAAAGTCTTCAACATGATATTGTTAAACAGAATGAAGGACTTCGTAGACACCCAACTTCGAGATCAACAGGTTGGATTTCGTAAGGATCGATCGTGTACTGACCAAATTCCAACAATACGGATCGTTGTGGAGCAATCAATAGGATGGAACTCACCACTCTACATCAACTTTATCGACTACGGGAAAGCATTCGATAGCGCGGATAGGAAAACACTGTGGAGGCTTCTTCGACACTATGGTGTGCCTGAGAAGATAGTTAACATCATACGGAATTCTTATGATGGATTCAACTGCAAAATCGTACACGAAGGACAGTTAACAGACTCCTTCGAGGTGAAGACCAGTGTCAGGCAAGGTTGCTTACTCTCACCATTTCTCTTTCTCCTGGTCATCGACTGGATTATGAAGACGTCAACATCTGGAGGGAAGCACGGTATCAACTGGACAGTTAGGACGCAGCTGGACGATCTGGACTTCGCAGATGACCTGGCTCTTCTATCGCACACTCAACAACAAATGCAAGAGATGACGACCAGTGTAGCAGTAGCCTGTGCAGCGGGCTTCAACATACTTAAAGGGAAAAGTAAGATTCTACGATACAACAAAACATGCGCCAAGCAAATCACCCTTGAAGGAGATGCCTTGGAGGACGATGAAAACTTTACATATTTAGACAGTATCGTCGACGAGGAAGGTGGATCTGATGCAGATGTGAGGGCGCGGATTGGCAAAGCAAGGACTGAATTTCTGCATTTGAAAAATATATGTAACTCCAAACAAATATCAATCAACACCAAAATCAGGATTTTCAATACAAATGTCAAGACAGTTCTGCTGTATGGAGCGGAAACAGGGAGAACTACTAAAGCCATCATCCACAAGATACAAGTATTTATGAACAGTTGTCTACGCAAAATACTTTGGATCTGTTGACCAGACTCGATGAGCAGTAATCTACATTATGAGAGAACAAAGCAGATTGCAGTGGAGGAGGAAATGAGGAAGAAGCGGTGGAAGTGGATAGGACACACACTACGAAGAGCACCTAACTGTGTCACGGGACAAGCTCTCAAATGGAACCCTCAAGGCAAAAGGAAAAGAGGAAGGCCAAAGAATACATTACGCCGAGAAATAGAGAAAGATATGAAGAATGAACAAAAATTGGACAGAATTGGAAAGGGAAACCCAGGACAGAGTTGGCTGGCGAAAAGTTGTGGGTGGCCTATGCTCCATTGGGGGTAACAGGCGTAAGTAAGTAAATAAGTAAGTAAATCTAATATGAGAACAGAATATGGTGCCGTATTGCGCATTTAAAATTTCATTTCTTGTTTTTATGTTGTTGAAATCATAGAATCGTTTGTATTATCGGTGTAATGACCGAATTTCCAGTATTCGGTCTGATAAAGTTACTGGCAAACCAAAGTTTGTTGGATTTGACCAAATTACATTGTTCTGTAGGCAGCACAAATCGTTTTACAGTGACTCCTTTGAAGTTATCTCGAAATACAAACAGTTTGCACAACTTATTTGGTTTTAATTTAAGATAGATAACAAAATGCATCGAGGTTTACAGAATACTTCAAACGGTACAGCTTGCGACATACAATCAAAGTTTCTCTTGGATAGGACAGCACGCTGTGTAGAAAAAAGAGTGGTTAATAAATAAGAGTTCAACCATCAAGAATCAACGAGGGTTTCCTCAAACGCATTGGATCAGATATCTTTTTAATAGGACTTGAACAACCATTTTCAGCAGGCAGTGAGAGGGCAATAATAATTCAAGGAACCACACCACTTGTTTATGACTCGACAACATTCAACAGCAAAACTGGGTAATGAAGGTAAGTATTCACTAGATTTAAAGACTAATGAATGAGAAACATAGAACATGGTTAAAAGAGTCCTGAGTAGAACTTAAATGTTAAACTCGCCCAAAAAGCGAAGAAATGGTCATACTGTCCAACAAAATACCGAAGAGGAATTTTCGGAGTATTCTTTCCATGACATAGGCTACCAAAATCTCTCCAGATATGTGAAGCAACCTGTGGATGCATTCATTCATGGCTTTCCTAACTAACTTGCTTATGCTATTAGACAGTACAGCGCTTGCAACAGTATGGCTGTATAAACCTAACCTACAACCTGTAGTTATTCCTCCCATCTCTTTTCGTCATCCCTTCTTTAGTATATATCACCACTGTTCTTACCAGATTATCCTCTTCCATGTCACACTTATCGACCGATCCCACTGGCCACGAGCCTCGAATAGTAACGTTGTTAGCTACCAGCATCACATCCCTTTCCCTTAAGTTTCTATATTTATGAAAGCATTTCTATTGTAGTTGAAGCAACGGGATGTGTTCCCTCATCCACCGACTCTAGAAAGTATTAATTAGACAGTTCACCTGTCTTCATCCTTTCGAATACCTGTTTCCAATAGTTCACTCCATTCCCTACCCATTACTATATCTTCCTAACCGTAGGACGTTGTTTGAGGTCACTGGCACAGTATAGTTGTTAGTTAAAACTGTCTGTGTTACCACGAAGTAGGTGCATAATCCGTAATCATGTAGAACCTTTTCGTTAATGATGGATAGTAGGATCCCCCAAGGAAAGCGTATTATTCTTTCATAAACTACACCTGAATAGCTAGCTGGTTGGTGGCTGAAAGGCAAGTGCATTTCTTTGACGTTGTGATATGATATTTCTCATTTTTATCCCATGCATATACTATTTCCTATTTCCGAACTTGCCATTATATATTTCTTCTGGAATCTTTATCGTTCCAAAAAAATGTTTCAAAGCAATTATGAAAGCGTCACTATTTAGACTGAAATCCACTTCTAACTGTACAGAACGCGGTACAGGATACGTAAAGTTAAATGCCTTAAAGTGAAAGGAAGGAGTGTATTTATTAAGAACAACCAAGTGTACGAAGATCCTAAGCTTAGCACATAGCTATTTAGTGGACATTTTGGTACCTCATTAACAAAGGAAATGCATCAAAGCCGACTCCAATACCTTCCTATAATATCGCCAATGTAGACTGCAGTGCACAGAATATTTCCAAGACGATTAGCACACTGAAACACCCTTAAGTTGAAGGGCTGGACGCAATCCCAGCAAGTATGCTGAAAAATGAAAGCAATGATCTATGTACTTTACCTCTTAAACTATTTAGCACACCACTGACTACAGCGTGTTGTACATAAATGATGTATGTAGAGCTATAAAGTTCGGGAGATCATGATGTCAAAATCGTAAATAGCTATGAACTTGAAGATAATAACAAAACTATAATCAGGAGCCGGAGTGACCTTGACAGCCTATCTGCCTAGAGCAACCGTTTAGTCACAACGAATGTGGTATTATGCAATTTAGTAAGCACCGACATAAAATACCACGTCACTTACAAAAAGTTCCGATTCAACTCATATCAGTGCATGATCTCGGATTCATTCTTCAGGAAACATAAAATTTGAAGAACATATCTATTTGATTATCTCTCTTATAGGGTTCTTAAATAAGAACTTCTTGGCAAATTATGCAAACCTTACACTGTTCAGCATATATACAAGACCTTTCCTTGAACACTACTGACCTATCTTTTCAGAAATAAGTATCATAGACAAAGCAAGAGTAGAAAATTTACGAAGAAGCTTCACACGCAACTGTTGGGATGTAACCATACTCTCGACTGCATAGAAAGACACAAACATCTTTCCCCAGAATCTTTATGTCACCGTCAGTTGAAAAACAACCCAATACTCTTCCAAAAACTAATTTATGGCCTATTGTTAGTAACATTCCGCCCAATTATGAGCCACAACCTTGCTTACATACTCAAAAACTACGCACATACACTTCTGAAAGCAAAAAACGAAAGGTCACTGCGTTTTAATTTCCTCGTAACATGATACTTTACTTTGGAACAGATCACGAGTTTCTATCCATGTCTGATACACAATCACAAGGTTCAAGAAACTAGTAACACTGTTGTTAAGCTCTAAAGAAACTTATCAACTATTTCTAGATTTCACATCAAATACTAAGGCACGTTTTTATAGTCCACCTAGAAACTATTAACAGACCATGAACATATTTCACCCTCCATTACAATTCATGCAAGTATTGTAGATGTTCGAGTTGAAAGATTATGAACC